AATATATATATATACATACATATATATATATTAATAACTTTTTATAATTAAAAATAGTATAATTATAACTTAAAAGTTATTAAATTTCAGTGATACTATACAGTTTATAGGTACTATTAAAATACCTTACCCTAACCTTATTTAATTCGAGTCTACAAGAAAGGATAGACATGCGATAGAGAGATGGAATAGCTGCGCGAATTTAATTTGTAATTGCGCCTGTAATCGGCCGTGCCGCCTCTATTTACGCTCGTCAGGCGACAGAAGTCAATGAGTTCATGAATAATTAAAACTGATTAATTTGTTGTGCCTGTTACGAGATTTAATGTTCCGCTCCATTAAGTGCGATTAGCCTCAAGGGCAATTAGGATATCAAGTATTTCTTTTACTCGTTTAACGTAATTAAACCTCAACGATTCGTACATTTTGCGCTATTTACAACGCAAAAATCAATTTCCATGTTTAAACAAATATACGTAATATTATGCATATTAAATTGGAAACAGGAGAATGTTTCACAAACGATTATATTTGTCAGTAGAATGTTTCCAATTTAATGATTTATCAAAAAATATATGTATATATAACATGTATCATGTGATGTCATCCTTCAAATCATACGACTATTCCAAAAATACTTTTTCAATTCAAATATTCCATTGTTTCAGTTCACGGAAATAACCTGTGTATCGTCGTAAGAGAAGAGGAAAGAAATGTGGATAAACTTCTCTCACAGTAAACAATTATATATAGTAGGTAATTGAAAATATTTTTCAAGACTAATTATCACGAATTTTATATTTAAATATATCAGGTGAATTATAAATATGTTGTAGATACTTCAAACAATGCAGTTGAAAGAATCGACTTGGAACATAAGAAAGGATACGTAGTAGAATAAGGCTACAAATTCAAGAGACGTGATGTAGTGCCTGGAGACTGTACTTAAGACATCCATATTTCATGTATCCAGAAAACAGACAGAATCAAACCTTGCTCCGATAATATCTACATAGTCAGCCACTCTGTAGTCATAAAACAATTATACTATCCTCTCGTCGACTTGCAGGTCCTCCTGTTCCTCATCTCGCCACCCTAACTTGTAATTCCTGACCTTCTCTACCCTCCATCGTCTTGTCCTTAATATTCAAAAGGCATCTGTACATCTATCTACTCAGGATCTATGGCCTTCATCAATGAGAACAAGCCTTAATCAATATGGAAAGGACGTATCTGTTTATCCAGGTAGATATACGATAAAATTCATTAAAACAATCTCTGTAATTATCTAAACTAAATATCGTTGGCAGGAAAGATCTCTCATCGTTTCTCATTAAGTCGTTCCTGGACCATTAATCTGTCTCAGACACTGTTTGTGGTTTGGACTACCAAAAATTCATGTCGGGAAGGTTAGTTGTGAGCAATGGGTTGCTCTTAATTAGTCAAACAGGTTCTGAACAAAACTCGTTAATATAACCTTGCAATGATACACGAGGTACATACTAGAATCACGGAGGATCCGTCTTCATCCTTCTCCAAATCATTTTCGAGTCGTTAATTTAACTTGACTATCAATTATGACCTCGACTACTATAAATTCGCATCGTAGAAACTAGTTGAAAATAGCAAGCTGTTTCTGGTTGGCCAAATGGACTCTCAGCGAGAAGCAATCATCCCAGAAGGTTGTCAGCATTCTATAGAGGCAGTATGATTTTTATGAAAAACCTCTTTCTGCGTACAAAGTTGACGATTAAAATGTCTCATCGATGAAAGGTACTTAGAAACAACTTGTTTTCAAAGATTTAAAAGACCTTTCTCATCTTTACCGAATCTTCACTCTGTGTATCTCAGGTCCAAAGTTCCTAGTCTCAACTAATAAGACTTCGTGCCTCTCATGTTAGTTATAAAATTATAAATCATAGGTTTAAGCAGACTCAAAAGCAGCATCACATAAAATAAGCATTATCGTAACCAAAGATTTCTCTTCATCCTGTACGAAGTCGCATTTGAACACTTACTCATTCTCTAACGTATCGTTCATTCGCTTTTACTATCAAAAAATCGTACCACAAGTAATACCTATAAACAATGAATTATCTCGTGTTAGCCAAACTTGTACTCAGCAGAACTTGTCAAAGCAACTTTCTCTTAACTATAACACAACCTAAACAAAGCATCATCATCCCAAAGGATCTCTCTTCATCCCTTATCAAGTCATCTCCAACCCCATAATCTACTTTCAGGGTGGTGTTTATGGTCTCAGCTTACTAAACAACTAACCATCTCTAGTTAGCCAACGAAATTCGCAACAGAACTCATCGAATTAACTTTCTAGGATGATTTAAACAGAACATCATCATCTCAAAGGCCTTCTGTCCGTCCCTCACCAATTCACCTAAACCTTACGATCCATTTCCATCTGACCGTTCACAATCCCATCCCCCAAAAACTCCTGTCGTTCTTCAGACTATGTAGCTGCGAACAACGGGTTGAAAGGGCTAAATTGGGATTCTATCGACTCGTGAGAATCTGGCAGGAAACGATGAACCAAGTCAAACGAGTATAAACCTAAACTTTACACCCTGAAGGGTGGATCCTAGCTCGTGTAGTACACGGCCTGGGCAGGAAGCTTTCGATCACGCGAGAGCGGGCATACGCGCGAGGCTCTGGCAAACTCGACACGCTCAATTTGGCGCATCGATCGCGCGGGCTACCCCGTGAAGCAGAGGAGCGCTGCCATCGCTGCGCTAGTAGATTCGGGTCCGAGCGGAACGAACGCGAACGTTCCTAAGTTATTGCAACGGCGTCGCGGCGCTAGCGGCAATATCCTCGTTTCGGAAACCGTCATTACGGATCGCGGAATCGCGCTCTCAGGAAATGGAGAGAACCCTGCTTCCGGTCCCTATGCTCTTCTTCTGCTCTGCTTGTTTCCTCGGATGAGAACACCTGATGTCGCATCGCTATGGACACTTTAGGTTGACATTAGAACTATCGATCTGCGTGTGATTTGTAGTTGGATATACTGTGTGCAAATGATGATTGAAATTGTATGTCGAGGATAAATACATACATAGATTAGGTTTCTGTATGAATTTTGACAAGAGCTGCATGCTTTTAGGAATTGGAAAATTAGATATTTGGGAACGGTTGTTTCGCTTAATTTTATTTTAATTTTGCTGTAGTTAGATGTAGTATATATAAATGGTATCATGAGGATAAGTTGGTAGATACATGTAATACGTTTTCTCAATAATTCAAGATTAAAATATTCCAAAGCAGTGATTTAAATTTCTCTAACTAATTCGGTATTAATATCTCTAATTCTATTTTAATATTAATCCTAGTGATTTGTAATGTGTGGCTAAATATATGATACACACATGACAGTAATTGAATTTGGAATGATGGAGATAAATAGCTACATACAGAGCTACATTCCATTTAATTGGAAATGGTGAGATATTTTCAAAAAATGTTCTTATAAAAATAATTTAACATTGCAGGTGAGATTAGATAAAAGCTGTTAATAGCTTCTTTATAGATATAATATTGAAAGACATGTCAAAGCCAAATTAATTTTGTTTACATGGAAACATGTACTCTTTTCTTCATAATATTGCATTAATACAATATCATACAATATAATATTGATGAAACCAGTGTTCCACAACATGATATATGATTTCCACACTTAAAACCTTCAGGCAAGTCTGATCTAGACCTTATTTTGCAACCATCCAATCTCTAACCTTCGATAAGAAGAAAAAATCCATATGAATTTACCATAATCAATTAACTGATTGCCTTGTTCAATCCTTCTATTTCCACTTCGATGGACCTAAAGCAATTTTAGTTTTATTCGTGTTTGCAGGTCGCGAATCGATTTTCGTAGTGACAGAACTGATTTATGGTCCCATGTTAAGCGAACATTTTGTACCCGACTTGACCAACGGCAAACACTCCAACTTCTTGAGCTGCATGTACGCAAATACTGTTTCCGCTCTGCATTAAGCGCAGAGCCTGTGTTGCCTATTTTCATGGCTAACTGTGAAACATTTTGTAAACGATTTTCACTCGAATTGTCTATGGTTTCCTGGTTCCCAGGGGTGGGGACATTTTGATAGATCCCTCTGAATATTTTGGATACCTGTTCCACGTCAGTTTCGATGATTCGTCTTAATTTTGTTATTTCTTCGTAAATTTTTGTTTCAATTTTTTTTCTGTTTTCAGGTTATAATGAAGACTTCAAAAATTCGCTGCCAATTTCGACAATCTCCGATGATGTTCCTCGGCTTTAGCAAAGATGAAAAATTGGACGTAATTGGACCTGCTATTTTCCGGCTTCGTTTCGAGTGCCAATTTTATATTTTTTTATCTTTTTTATTTTTCATATCTCCCTGGTCGTAATCGAGACTGAAGCTCGTAAATCATTCGACTGGCTTTCGTTCTCGTTACAATAGTTTTCAGAGAATGGTGGATCCCAGTTTCCGCGAGAACACGCGTATGTATCGCGCATTTTTCTGGCTATCGTGGTAATCGATGCCATCGATGAAATGGAGCGTTAATAAATTCTGCCTGGGATACGTTTTTCTGCTCTGATAAATATTCCGCGGTCTCTCCAGACGGAAAATCTGAGACAGCCTTTAATCGATGGCTTCATTTCCATGTCTAATTCCATGTCTAATCCCTGCTGTGTGATTTCGCACGAAATCTGCTCCTTTGGTACCTTAAAGAAGGATGTTTCCTCGTGTCTCTACTGAATTTTAATGTCCTCTTGCTCGTATCTCACCTTAAATTTAGAGAAATGGAGAAACATCTGAATATTAACGTTTATGATTTCAGGCTAGCACATTGGTGTGCTTGGAGGACTGTGGATGAAGTTGGTTTCTTGCAATAAATCATGGGACTTTGGAAGTACATGTATGTATAATGTATCTATATCTTTTTAATTTTATTTTACTCATTTATGAATATTTCCTTTAATTTTTGAGTTTATTTATTTATTTAGGTGCTCTGCGTGTAATAATAAGTATGCCCTTTTGCTCGTATCTCATCTTAAACTTAGAGAAATGGAGAAACATCTGAATATTAACGTTTATGGTTTCAGGTTAGCATATTGGTGTGTTTGGAGGACTGTGGATGAAGTTGGTTTCTTGCAATAAATCATGGGACTTAGTAAGAACAGGTATGTATAATGTATCTACATCTTTCTAATTTTATTTTACTCATTTGTGAATATTTTCTTGAAATTTTCAGTTTATTTATTTATTTAGGTGATCTGCATGTAGTAATTATTGACTTCTAAATATTTTTAAAATCAAAATGAGAGGCTTCAGTCACTTAGAATTTTTTCTCCTGTAAGCAAAAGGAATTCTTGTTATAGTGAGTTAGATTTTCATAAGAAGATAGATGTAGCTATACTTCTAAATTATACCCACCAGTAAAGGGCTAGAAATTTATTGTAATTTGCTTGCTCAGCTGAATCTCTCATTTACTATTATATTCTTTATTTATTGATGTCTAAGTTAAGAAAAATTGGAAGCAAACATACTTTAGCCGTTTAGTTAAAATATTACTTAAGGATATTTAGGTATCAATGTCCTTACACGTTTATCTTCATATGCCAGTAGTATTGCAGAGTCCTAAGTACGCAGACGAGAATGTTTGTCATATTAACAGTGGAAGCATTACTACCAAAACATCATGCTACAACGACGAGGGTTTTCATATCGGTATCAGTTCCTGTCCGAAAAATTACACATTGATCAATCACTGTTCACGCGACGTAACGATACGATAGAAAATCGACACAAGGTTATTTAACCATGTTGAGAGGTTATATTCCAAACAAACGTATCCAGTGGAAACAATGGAAGAATATATATGTTTATTGAACGCATCCAATCAGAACTGACCTGTTTGTTTAGGGCCACGCAGGTTACAGGCGTCTCTTGTGAAGGAAACAGGAGACAAAAGACAAAAAGGGGAAGAAGGGATCATTCTCACATCGCTTTAGGATATAGAGTTTCACTTTCAGCATTCACTTGCTTTAACAAATCCAAGAACCATCAAACAGTCAAAAAGGACTTTTCTTCTTACAATTATTTCTGATAAAGGGTTGATTTTTAAAATAGATTCCTATCCAGACAGAACTGTTGCGTCCAAAGAATCGAATTTCTATCAGTATCAGTTGATTTTCGATTTGTTTTCTAGAATAATACTACGCATAGGTCATTGACTTGTAATTGGCTGGTAACTTTTTTTTCTAAAATAAGATCCGAAATCGGCATTGGCCGATTCACGATTTCTCTTCCTAGAATAGCATCCTATAATAATAAAGTCTTTAGAATTATCGAAAATATAGGTATTAAGATAGGAGTCAAGCTACGTATAAAGATGGCCTTTGGCACGAAACAAGAACTATAATTAATACATCTACTTGTCTTCATCGTATCACTAAAATTACTGTCATTTGTATCCGTCAATGTTTAAGTACCCAATAAGGATCGGTAGCTCCAGTGCCAATTATACTTGTTCGGAAACAGGAGACGAAAATTCCTCGGAAAATTCTTCACGATATTCCCCAGTCAACCGATTTATATAGAGAAAACCGATCGATTGCGATATCGATGGCGCAATTTCGCCCGTAAGACTAATCGATCTTCCGGTTGGGGTGCACAAAGGAAAGCAAAGTTATTCAATTCCCGGGAACAAGGAAACGTCACGTAACGTCGGCCAAAGGCGCGCCGACGCTTTCGAACGCTTTTCAAACAGCCACGTCTACAGCCACGGGAAATAATCGCGTCTTTTGTGAGGCGTTCGCTGAAAAATAGCCGGCCCGTGGACTCGGTTCCTCCTGCAGGATAGAATTTTCGAAACGGGACACGTCGGTTTACGAAATGTCACGGGAGACAGCCGAACCATTGGGAAATCCAATTCCGAGCGAAGGTAAAAGGCAACGCATTGTTTTGACAATCCTTTCTTTCCGATCTATCGATCCTTTGTACCCTGAAAAGTCCACTTTGGACTTCGTGTGCTCCGACTTTTGCGTTTTCTTTGTTCTTCTTTGAGCTGAGAGGTCCTTGGAAGCACTGGGAATTTTAGAAACTTGGACCGTTCTTTTCCATGGTGTGCTTCGGACCCTAAAAATCAGAGGGAATGTCGAGGGAATTTTATTTCAACAAATTTCAGTCAACTCCTTCGCTTACAGTATCATGAGAGACTCGTGGTAAAGAAGTCGGGTCAAACACGAATATCACGGTTGAGAGACGTGGTTTGTGGATTGGGCCTAACGTAAACATCACGAGTCAGCCACGTTAATTTTCGCTAATGTCTCTTCGTCTCAGTGACGTGTTATTTTTTAAATAGCTCGACGTCTTTGCTGTTAAATATGGAACATAAATCAAGGTTAAGGCAAAGGATTAAAACGCCGTTAGATCGTTACTGTGAGATTGCGTAATATGCAAAACTCGTTCGAGATTGCAATGTTTCGCGATAAGGGAATCCAATCTGCTAATAAAGGGGTATAGATAACGACGTGTGTTTAAAACATGTTCGAAACAGGTTTAATAATTAGGAACAAAGTGACCACGATCTCGCGGTATTTTCCCGAACACACTGTTCCAGCGTTTTACGGGCCGCTGCTTCGAGCAGCGAAATTTTCGCGAAATTAGTCGCACGTGAATTATAAAATCGTGAGTGACTGTAGCAGTCACGGGTCTATTCTACGTGGAAACGAGTAACAACAACGGTATTAAAAATTAATACGCGAAAGTCGTCTCTGAAACAGAGAATTCCGCGAATTTAAATAGCGCGCCTCGCGAGAAGGAGGCTGGAGAAAAAAAGCTAATATTAAATTTCGTGAGATTGCGTTTACCTTCTTTCCGACGTGGCAATTGTATTTCTCTCATGGTGCACCGTGAAATTTTCTACATTCTTCTTCCATCTTTATTTTAAGTCCGGGTCTTTCGAGATCAGGGAAATAAGCCATTTTTGAGAATCCTTTTCTAAGAAATCGTAACACTTTTTCACATGGGTAGTTGCATTGTCTTGTTTACTCGTCTTTAGACTATGCAGACAAATTTTCTTAATTGAGGAAAATGAAAATTGTCAATGTTACAACGCGATAAGCACAAACTGGTTTTAAAAACGTACTTAGACTTTTGACACGATTCCGACTGTTCTGCTCACCTGGAAAGGACAAATTTACAATATATTGTAATATAGTTTATAATATATTGATATGTATAACTTACAACGCGATAAGGACAAACTGGTTTTAAAAACGTACTCAGACTTTTGACACGATTCCGACTGTTCTGCTCACCTGGAAAAGACAAATTTACAATATATTGTAATATAGTTTATAATATATTGATATGTATAAGATATATGAGCCATTCACTGCACAAATTAACTCCACTTTTTGAAAAATCTTAAATATAAAAAGTTATGATTATACCAAGTGCTTTGACACTTATATTTAAGATTTTTCGAAAAGTGGAGTTAATCTATTTGTGCAGTGAGCGGCTCATATTATATATAAGATATATTGTAATATATATAATAATTAATATAATATAATATAATTATATATATGACATATTATAATATATTGTATATTAACAAATATTTTTTAGATTCGAGGTTGCAACACTAGAGGCTGCCCAAAGGAAATGTGTGCTAATTAACGCTATTAGTTGGTAATCGCGTCCGGCCAGAAGCTCGAGGTTAATTGCCCGTTGAAATTGAAGAGACAATTTCATATTCCGCTCGCAAAGAATCGACCGGAAGTAGGACTCAGCGTCGTCGTAGTTGCGAATTTCGTTGGAAAGTTTGGCTACTTAAAATCCGATTTACTAGCGAAGAACGAATTTCTTACGGTCTCCTTACCTCCCAGCTATTCCCTCTCTCCCCCTACCCTTCCCATCTTTCTTTCCATTCCTGTCCCGAGTCTTCATTTTTCCTTTCTAACAAGGCAAGTTTTTAGCACAGACTTCAGAAATAACTGCTAATAACTGTTAGGCGAAAGTCCATCCCGAAACAGTTCTCGAGGAACTGGAATCATCCTCTATTGCATGATTCATCTGGATCGTGATTAAAATTGATCTCGGTTTTCCCGTTCGTTTACGCTAATAGACTATGTCAGGGTAAGGACACTTTTAACCTTAGAGTAGTCATATTACCATTAATTTATTATATTTACCATATATATTTACCATTAATTACAAAATTAATGGTAACAAAGAAAAATAAAAATAAAAATATGGAAATATACAAACAGATGAGATGTGCATAAGTATAAAGAAAAAAATTGTTTTACTGAGAGGTGCGATGTAGTAGCTATTTTATAGAGTGAAGAGATTGGCTGAATAGATCTAGGATAGGATAACTGTTGTTAATATTAATAATCATTCTGTCAATACCTGAGTGGTATGCAAAAGCGGTTTTATATTGTATATGAAGATAGTTGTGTCATCTTAAATGAAAAGTTGGAACATTGATTAAGAATATTTCTAACATATCAAAACAATTTATGAGGCCATCGAGCACTTTATAAACGAAAAGAATATCAGAGATTTCTCTCCTTCTTTCTAACGTTGTTAAATTTATATCAGAATTGTACATAAAGGTTATTTTCGAGTTAGAATATTAAAATATTTAGGGGGAGGCGGTGAACAAGGTGTTCTTTCGTATCTTAATTTCTTCTCTTCCAAATTTCGAGTTGATCAGTTTACTAGAACACGAGATATCCCGTCAGCCAGTTCGAGAAACATGGTTTCGAGAAAAACGCGTTTGAAGTTTTCCTTACGCATTGTACAGTGCCTGAATGCTGCACTTTAAACATCTGTAACTTCGCTAATTTCACGAATTCGAACGAATCCTTCTTCGCAGACATTTTCGAAAGCGTGCACTTTGAGAAAATGTAAGAAAAAAGAAATCGATTTTTTTAACCCGGATTACATGAACACCGCCTTAATGTGTCTCTGTGTTAATGTATTACTCTAGCTTTTTCCAAATGGAACATTTCCATTTTTCTCGGAATATAATTACTCGTCGTTTTCAATCTCGAATCTTGTTCAATTATCGATGTCACGGAACACTTTGCACACTTTTCTGCCCGTTGAAAATCGAAGAGACGTGAACTAATATGTCATGCAGTTTGCTCGAGGGATATCTAAATTTATACACAAAAACTGCTATTTCGAAATTGGGACGCATTAACGAGGAACGTATTTCAAACTTTCGTATTTTAAAGTTTTTCTGCTATTCTGCAAACAGTTCTGCATTTCATGAATACAAACGTGGAAAGCACACGAGCGATATTCATTGCATGGCGCAGCGATAAAAACTAACTCAATGGACGTGCCTGTAATCGATCCGCTTAATCTTAACGAAATAACGCTTTTCCAGTATGGATCGGGCTCATAATATTTGGATTTAGAATGAAATTCTGTCATGGTTCGTAGTTTTCGTTTACCAGGTGGACGGGAATAAAAGTTACTTTTGGCTTTAAAAACGAATGGAAGGTTAAGTCGATAGGACATTTGAAAATACGCCATTTTGGACTTTCAAGACTGAAATAAGTGTATTTTTATACTATCTTATAATTCAGTGATATTCTTGAGATAGAACTAATTTAAATAAAATTTAAGAATATATATTATAATAATATGTAATATTGTATTTTTTGTATTACTATTATATTATATATAATATTATATGTATTTAAAATACATAAAGAATGATCCATGGTATTCGAGCTATTTCTAATTGTAAGAAAAGCCATAGATAACAGTTCAAAAAACAAATTACATCTTTGTAGCATTAAATAGTTAAAATGCAATATGTTCCTGGAAAAGATATTTTAAAAATTTTATTTCCATTTAATTAAATTCTCTAAATTCTTTATTTCATACCAACACATTTTTATTCTTAACATTTTTCCCCTTCAACTGTTAAAAACAGCTCAAATATCGTGATCTATTCCTGGATATTTGGAGAAATATCCAGCTTGTTTATTTAAAAAATAACATATATTTCTTTATTATTTATAATCACGTATATTTTCGAAATGACTTCCATACTCTTTGAGTATAAAATATAGGACAATTCATTTGGGAATGCATTTGGGGAATATGGAAAATTGGTTCAACCATAATTCATCAGCCTATATCGAATTCTTATTGTTCCACGAATTTGATTACTCTTATAAAGAATTTTCTGATAATTTTATAAAATAAAAATAATTTAGACAATATAAAAATAACAGAAAATTCAACAGATTTTATTTTATGAATAACCATATACATTAAACTCTATCAGCTATTATATAATAAGTACATCAGCAGCTTATCCAGAGGTCGCAGGACCAGTTTCGAATTTTCAGAGACCCCAGGATTTCGAATGTTCATCCCCCATCTTGCTGGACTTGGTTAGCAAACCATCCTAGGTTCATAATACCGCCGAATCTATAACCTAAAGAATTCTGAGATTCACTACGTGCAATTGTAAACTAGTATGACTTCGAAATTCATCGATTCACTAACATAGCATACATCACAGGTTACTTCGCAGATGTTGGGGCACCAACTCGAATGCTTGACACTGTATAACTCGCCAGAGATCACCAAGGAATTATGGGATCACTTCATCACTTCGTGATCATTAGAGCTGCTAAGATGTGTGGAGTCTGGGGACCTCTAACTCCGTCAGATGAAATCATAGGATCCACCATAAATTGCCTAGAACACCTGGGACTTCGAACTCCATCGCTTTGGGCTTGTGAGATTCGCCCCAATCCACCCCAAGGGCGTGAAACCTCGAACTATTATTGGGGAATCTAACATATGCAACTTCGAAGTCGTATGTCGTCAAACTCCGTGGCACAGAGATGGGAGAACAGCCTGCAAACTTGCGACAACAGACTTCAGAGTCTATATCTTGGACATCAGACTTCATCAGACTTCATCAGACTCGATGCTCAGAACTATAGATGCCTATCGTTGGAGAGTGGATTCTGGCTTCTCAATATTGAATTGACTGAATCTTGAACCATGATCCAAATCTCGATCCTTCGAGTCTAGTTTCAGACTTCAAATTTCTAGTCTCAGGCTATGACCACAAATTGCAGAGCTTTAATCAGTGTTGTTGATCTTTGTGCCTGAACTCGGGGCATTTGAGAGGTATTCAACGAATTCAACTTGGTGAAGTTTGACTGGTAGACTGACCTCAACTTGGTGGTAGTCTATGGCGCGTGTCGTGATTAATATTGACGTTGACTTCAAACTTCGAACCTCAGACCCCTAATTATAGAGCTGTAATCACTGTCCTAGATCGCAAGTCCCGAGTTCAGTTTATTTGAGTATCCTGAGAAGTGGAGTTGAAGTTTGAGATCCTTCATCCTAATGGTAGCCGAGGATGGGTTTCGTGACCGATGATTAATTTTGACGTTTCACGATTCCCAGATAATTCATGGTTAGTTGAAATGCCTCGAGACGATGAAGTTTGAAATCTCACGTGTTCTGGGTAGTCAGCGATATGCATAGGACTAGAATTCGTGGGGATGATGATCATGGGATCATATCCAGGGCTTTTGACTCATGATATGAATTCGTATGCAATAATAGGTATCTGCCAAGTTGGCAACATCAGGCCTTACGACATTCTGACATTGGAGTAGGATAAGTTACATTGATCCTCTTGTTATCTCGTGTTAAGCAGTTGACACTGGTCCCATGTCTACGTCAATGCTGTTCCTTCGTCAGGTATAGATGTATAGCCAATGGTGAAGTTTCGTGTCATCTATCTTTATAGTCATGTTAGAGGTACTGCTGTATTATAGATCTATTAGACTATGGTCTCCCTCCACTTGCCAATCTATGTAGTACTGATAAATATTATATATATTATTATTCTTCAAGCATGGCCCCTTTCTATAATGTAAAACCTCATCAACTCCATCTGCCATATCTACCATTCCTTCCTAATTGATCCATAATCTTTCAATCTCCCATCACACTACCCATCAGGACACATCCATTGTTTCTCTCAGGAACTCAGGATGTCCCAATTTCCTTTCTCAGCTTACAAACACTTTCTCTACTAGGTAGTGACGGATGCCAGGCCCCGTCAATCTCCTATGAACTCTCCTACCTTGGCCCACATTCTATTTTTCGCGATATCGAACGTCATGGTCGCGGTAGGAACACGGAATATCATAAAACGCAGGCCCAGGTGCGTACTCATTAAGCCGGCTGGACGTCGTTTCATCCCGCCGCGCCGCTTCATTTCTGAGAGTTTCCCTACGCGCCTGACGAATCACAGAGAAAAAGGGGCTACCGTTGGGACGGAGTGAGGGAAGCGGAGGACCGCGGTTAAGAGAAAGGAATCAGCGTGCCGGTACGCGAAACCGGCGGAGGAGACGACTCCCTAATCAAGGCGACATTGTCACAGGACGAACAATATCCAGCGTCGACGTGCTCGCGGAACCCCCCACCACTCCCGCGCAGGCAGAGACGCGCGCGCATGCGCACGCTCACGCAGCTCGTGATACACAGGGTGTCGTGAAGCCAGACGCCTGGGAAGGAGCGAGAAAATAGTACTGCATGAAAGAATAAATGGATAGAGGGTGGCTTTCTCGAAGGAAACTTCGGTTTTGCATAAATTGATAGCGAAGATTCCTATGCTACGTTCGCTTTAGGATAACGCCTAGGTAGAAAGACGTGAGATATTCTCTGTGAGTTTTTCGTTAGGAACAAAAGTTTTATTTTATCGGTTATTTTTTGTTACTAGATATATACTAGATGTGGAAGGCCTTTATATATGTATATTCGGAGGTATAATACAATTTTTGTTATTGTAGTATATTTGCATCACATTTATTTTTGTTAAATTGTTTATTTGCTTAGTTTATAATAGTTAGCACTATTGAAACTTGTCTAGCTCATCGTAAGTGTTCCATGTTAGATACGAGACTTAGCATTAAAACTACTAATCTAGAGTGCATGTCTAAATATCGTATACATAAATA